AACTCACTATGTAGCCCAGGCTGGCCTCTAACTTAGAGCAATCCTCTTGCCTTAGCCTTCTAAGTGCTGGGATTATGGGTATATGCCACCACACCCATTAGGCAGGTCTCTTTTATATAGCTTATGCCTTATCATGCACATATTTTTCCTGCCTTCCTGAATAAGTGGAATAAAGTTCTGTCATGATTCTAAAATCATTGTCTACTATTTTTTGGATCTATTTCTTTTAATATACTTTAACCCTGATTATGGGTTATATTTTCCCACTTCTTTGCATGTCTGGAAATATTTATTAGATACCAACATTGTGAATTTTACCTTGTTGAATGTCGTGTGTGTGTGTGTGTGTGTGTGTGTGTTAGTCCCTGACTTACAATGGTTTAAGATTTTTCAACTTTATGAGATGTGAAAGCAATATGTATTCAGTAGAAACCATCCTGTCAGGTCTGAACATAGATCTTTCCTCTGGTTATCCGTGTGAAATATGAGATGTGATACTGTGCAGTCAAAGTGAGTCACAGCTCCCAGAAATGTGATCATGAGGGCAAACCCCTGCTGTTCCACAATGGACTGTACTGTTCTTAGCTGTTTGGTTGGGAAGGTGTGTTAGGTGCATTGTTGAATAACAATATTTTCAACTTATGATAGCTGGAATGTAAGCCCATCGTAAATCAAGGAGCACATGTGAATGAGTTCCACATCCACAGATTTAACCAAATGAGGACCAAAACTATTTTTTTAAAAAATTGTCTATGTGTAGATGCAGAGTTTTTCCTATCATTATCCCCTAAACACTACAGTACAATTATTTCTACCTTACGTACATTAGTATTATAAGTATTAGACTTGTAAGTCAGTTAGGAATGATCTAAAGTGTCAAGGGAGAGGTGCATAGATTACATGGAAATGACCATTTTATAGAAGGGATTTAAGCATCCACAGATTTTGATATACATGGGGTCCTAGGCCTAATTTTTCACTGATAGGAACAATACTTGTATGTGTGTGTGTACTCTTCCTTTTGTGACTTTTAAGGTTTTTTTTTTTTTTTTTTGGTTTTTCTCCGGTACCGGGAACCGAACTCACGACCTTGCGCTTGCCAGGCAGGCACTTTTGCCGCTGAGCTAAATCCCCAGCCCCTGTTTTTTTTTTTTTTTTTTAAATGAGTAGAACCAGACAAGCTTCTTCCCCCTACTACTGATAAACTATCCTTCTGAACACTCTACTCTGTGATCATGAATTTCAATGTCCATGCACTCTGGCCATGGAAATCCAAAATATTCCTAGCCCTGTGTGAACTTCATACGTTTTCTTTATCTTTCCTTTCCCATTGATCTTTTTGATGGCTAGGGCAGGCTCCTCACACACACATTCACTGGTTGATCATTACCTGGAGACTTGAGAGAACCTCCCTAAAACTGGTACTGACCTCCTCCTCCTCCTCCCCCTCCTCCTCTTTCTTTCCTCCTCCCCTTCTCCCTCTCCTTCTCCTGCTTCTTCTCTTCTCTCTCCTTCCCACTTTTCTGAATTTCAAACACCTTAGTCTCCTTGAAACTTCAGTTTTGTATTCTTAACTCAGCATGCCCATTTTCTGAGCTAAAGCCTGGTCATTTCCTCCATACAATAAGCTGGGAGTTATGGGGTTGACCTCCTTTGTATCCCACTGTTTCAGGAATGCCTATTCTATGCTGGTTATTGTTGAATGGCTAACACTCACTGTTTGACATATTTTGTACAGTTTTTTTAGTTGTTTATGATGGTAGGGAAGATCTGGTGTCTGTTTCCCAATATTGACTAGAAGTAGAAGTTTCCACAGATAATTTTATAAATTCTAGTTAGCTTTCCACTCCTTAGAAGGTTAAGCTCAAACTGTTGACTTTAATGTACTCAGTTCTTCAAAACCTGACTTCATGACAACCCTTAATCTCTGTTTCCCACATCATCTACTTTTAGTAAATCAGAACAGCTCATCAGATCTCGGCTTTCTTCATCCCCTTTTCTGTGCGCATGCTCATGTCTCTGTAGAGTATGACTGTGCTTCTGTGCATCCTCCATCTGCCCAAATTTCACTTGTTCCTCAAGCTCTGACTCAAATACCAGTTTGGCTAAATATATACAAACATCAGTGTTAGTAGCTGCAGGATTTGCCTCCACTATGGACAATTTCAGTTTGAGTTTTATGCCTGACCGAGCTCTTGTAAATGACAGTAACCTGTGTCTTTCAGTCACATTCTTGTCTCCCAGTTTACCCAGGGCCTGACATGGGTTCCTTGGAAAATGTCTGCATCCTGAATGAACACGCTAACCTAGCATATACACTTGCCTTCTGAAGATAGTATTGGGTTGATTATTTGGGGAAATGAAGGATGATAAACACAAAAGCAAACCTAGCAAAACTTGGGCTAAATTAGCTAGCCTGGTCTAGCAGGTGATCTCCATTAAGTTATTTGGTGAGGATGGCGGGCAGGTGCTGCCTCTGATAGGAACTAAAGCATCATTAGCGCAATGTGTGGCCCGTATGGAGTTGGAATTTTCTTCTCTCGTGTATGGCGGAGTTCTGTGACAAAGAGCGCAGGGAAAGTTATTCCTAAGAAGTTCTTCCAGTTAACTGAATCACTTTCAAAGCATCGGCTTCAGCTCTGAGCGACAATTGTAATCAACATACCTCTGGCCTATCTGTGCCAGTAATTTAGAGACTCGGCTATCCCCTGAATTGCCTGGGACATGTAGGTGCACTCAGGATAAGGATATTAGGGACTCAAATTCTTTTTCTAAAGATTCATTTATTTTATTAGTCCTTGTAAAATTAATTCTCATAAATACAGATCAACAGCCAGACCATCAGGCAGGAAAAAAAAAAAACTCATATAAAACACGTAAGACAATTATACTACGAACAATTTTTTTGTTTTGTTTTTTCTGGTTCTGGGACTCGAACTCACAACCTTGCACTTACCAGGCAGGTGCTGTGCCGCTGAGCTAAATCCCCAGCCCAAGACAATTATACTAAATCAAGATTCACTTGTAGATACATTGTCCTTGCTGGAATATAATGACTGTTTTCCCTTTTTTCCTATGTCTGTCTTTAATTTTTTATTTCATTTATACATTGTGTTTATCATGTAAGAGAAAATGTGGTATTTAAGCTCATGTGTCCAATTTATTTCACTTAATATTATAGTCTCAAGATACATCCATTTTTCTACAGAAGACTCAAGTTTATCCTTCTGTATGGTGGAGTAGCACTGCATTGTGTATATTAACACTTATCCATTCATCTGTTGATAGGCATATAGGCTACTTCCAAGGTTGAGCTATTTTGAACTGTGCTGCTATAAGCATGGGTATGTTGGGGGTTCAAATTCTTAACTATTCTTGAAAGTTAACAGTTTAGGAAAGACCAAAAGCTTTAGAAGCCCACTTCCATATTGTAGATAAGGGAAAGGAATTGGGTATGTCCCTGAATAACATGAATGTCACCAGACCTTTTAAAAGCTCCACAGTTCTAAATTTGCTAATATGCTTTCCAAGGGAACAACTAGGATGCATGGAATTCACTAAATACTTAACTGGAATGTCAGGGGGGAAGGGTTATTCAAAGTGGTTACGCAAAGTAATGATTAAAATTTCCTTTCTGAAGGGAACAGAATGAATCTCTAGGTCTGTGTATGATTGGGAGAGTCACATGCACTGACAGAAAGTAGTGCGTAGTCTGGGGCGGTAGGATTCTGACGTACAAGATGTCTCAGACCTCTCTACTGTTTATCAGCGAGGGATATTGATTTGAATATTTGTGAAGTAGTAGGACAACTTCACCTTGCTGGAAACCGGTTTGGTAAGCCAGCACTCAGTTTTATCTTCTCCTATGCATTTGGGGTTGAGAGTAAAAATGTTTTCTTTTTTAAGTGGAATTTATCCCCTGTGGAATTTCTTGCGGGAGACCTACCTTACTTACCTTGGAGAAGGGTGCAGCTTGGGCTCTATATTGGTAGGGAAGTGAGATTAATGGCATTACAAATATAACTCTCTTTTTTTTTTTTTTTTTTTTCTTTTTGGTCTTTTTGAGACAGGGTCTCGCTCTGCAGTCCAGGCTGGCCTTGAGCTCCCTTTGCAGCCCAGGCTGGTCTCGAACTTGCAACGATCCTCCTTCTTCAGCCTCCCAAGGGCTGGGATTACAGGCATGCGCTACCATGCCCGGCTATACAAATATAATTCTCTTAACAGGTAAAATTTATCAAATGTCAAAGAAAAGAGGCTGTGGTTTGGAGTAGGGAATGCTTGGTTTTGCCTTGCAATTTAGTTACCCATTAGCTAGGCACAATAATCTCATTTTTTTTTCAAGTAAAATAGTGTTGGGAGTGAATGTCCAATTATGAATGGGAGGACTAAATGCGATGATGTGTATAAACTAACCCGGAGGTCTCTGCCCTCTCCTTACGTGATGGGAAGTGAGGAGCTGATACTTTCTCCCACCCACGCGCACCCTGGGTCTGTGACAGCCTGGCTGCCCTGTTTCTCCGCTTACATTTCTTTAACTCCTTCCTAACACGCCCCTTCTGTGATATCCCTTTTTATTCCTCTTGTCTACCCTCAATGCTTAAAATACCACTTGCACATGTAAAAGACAACCCTTAACACTGTTCATTAGTAAATTAGAGACTGTGACTTCATGACTTCATTCCTCTCTCTGCTTTTGGGGAAAATGAAGAACATAAACACAGAAGCTTTGTGGTTTAGAGTAGGGGACACTTGGTTTGCTTTGCTTTTGTGTTTATCATCCTTGTTGTGCTTTGCTTTTGTGTTTATCATCCTTATTTTCCCCAAAAGTTTCAGAATGCTTAGCGTTGAAGTTAGGCTTCTGGGGAAAATAGCTCAATGCAACTCCAAAAGAGTTTAGACTGGGGAGCTTTTGCCGCTCCTGATGCTGCTTGTGTACTCATTCTGTGCGGACCTGCTACTTCTTTTGTGAGGTGGCAGCTGAGAAGACTTGGGTGCTCACTATGGCCGACGAGGGGCCCAAGGAAGGAATCAAGACTGAGAACAAAGGTGGCGGGCAGGATGGTCCTCTGGCGCAGTTTAAGATTAAGAGGCATACGCCACGTAGTAAACTAATGAAAGCCTATTGTAAACAACAGGGTTTGTCAGTGAGGCAGGTCGGGTTCCGATTTGATGGTCAGCCAATCAATGAAACAGACACACCTGCACAGTTGGAAATGGAGGATGAAGATACAATTGACGTGTACCAGCAGCAGACAGGAGGCGTCTACTAAAAAGGGAAACTGCAACAGCCCTACTCCAGAACTCTGTTCTTGCAGACCAAGAATACATTCTCAGTTGGAAGAGTGCAATTTGGTTCCACCACATCCTGACTACTACAGTATAGATTTCTTTATTCTTTCACTTACCCCGTCACATTGCTTCATTGTACATAGGGTGTCCGGTGTACATGCACAAGCATATTGCTTTTGTGTGTGTGTGCTGAATGGCCAGCAATATGTTTTGATTGACATCAAATGGAGATGGAATGGGAAATCACTGGTTCTCTGAAAATAATCCCCTTTCTCCATTGGTGGCCTGCTCATTGGCTCTTGTCTTTATAGTCTAGTAAGTTATTTTGCTCTCACTATTTTGACAGAAGAGACAGCAGCCTGGGAATCCTTGGATACCTTGTTTGATTGGAGAATTCTAATGTTTTTCACTTGTCATTGTAAAGCCAAGGACAATTTTGTGGCTGTATTATATATAGCTGTTACATGTAGGGCAATCTGTCTTTAAGTAGGAGTAAATCATTCTTTGAAAGAAAAGGGGAATCCTGGGTAGTTTTCCCTTTGGGTCGGGTGTCTTGTTGTTTAAATAAATTTCTATTTAAAATGAAAAGGAAAAGTTGAAATTGGGGAACATTAAAGAGCAAGGACTATGCATTAGAAACTAGGTCAGACTAGTCCTAATAGTACCGCTTACTGTCAGCACTTTGAATCCCCCTTTCTAGTGGATGAAGCCCTTGGCCCCTTACCTGATTGCTAGTAAGAGTATCTGCCTGCAGCCTCACCCTCAACACAGGATGCTCACAGACAGGTCCAACCTGTGGCTCCTGGCTTCCCTGGGTGTGAAGTGGAGCTTTTTGAGGCCATATATAAAACATATACTATAGTTGCTGAATATAAGTAGCACACCTTCCTTAATTTTTTTATATTTGTTGTTATAACATTAAAAATAAACCGGGCAAACAGCCTGAAGGCTAAGGTTTGATGGGCCTGGCCTCTAGGGTAATCCTTTTTTTAATTTTAAAAATTAAAAGAAAACAGTGATGAAGACAAAGTCAAAATAACACAAAAACAACAAAAATGACACATGACCTCAAAACAAAATGATAGGAATTAACAATGGTTGCCACATTGCATACTATTATCTTCAACAAAATTGCTCAGTCCACCAGACTTAAGAATGTAAGAGTGATCAAACAATCAAGGACAGTAACAAGTAATAAAAAAAATACATTGGAAATGATGCAGAGCTTCACCGTACAAGATGGCAGGAGTTCAACAATGGTCCTTATACTGCATATTGTTGCTTTCAGATCAGTCATTCTGATTACCAGATTCAAGCATGCAAAATTGGTCAAGAAAAAAGAAAATTTTAAGCATTAACTGATCCTTTCAATAAACCACAGATATCTGCAATACACCTATCCCAGCTATCCTTATATATACATATAAATTTTGTTTTTCATTTTAAAAAAACCCAAAATAACATAAACAAATAAACAACACAGCATAGAGAATAATAAAGTTGATACAGAATTTCAAAACATGGTGATGGGATAGTAACAATGGCTGTTATATTACATAATGTCATCTTCAAAATGGTTGCACATATTACCAGATATAGGCATGCAAGATTGATCAATTACCCATTAACAGTTCCTTCGATAAAGCAACAGATATTTTTTTTCTTTTCTTTTTGTCTTTTTGAGACAGGGTCTCACTGTGCAGTTCAGGCTGGCCTTGAGCTCACTTTGTAGCCCACACTGGTCTTGAACTCACAACAATCCTCCTGCCTCAGCCTCCCAAATGCTGGGATTACAGGCGTGTGCCACCACGCCTGGCTTAAACCAACAGATATTAGTAGTACAACTATCCTAGCTACCCTGTGTATATACATACATGTTTTTTTCCTCTTCTTTCTTTTTCCTCTCCGCTCCTTCATCCCAGTTGCTCCTTCCTATTTGAGCAGTTTCTTTTCCTTTTCAAAATATCTATTGTACCTTTCAGGTTTTATTTACTCTTTCAGGTTCTTATAGTAGGGAGTAAATATGATGTTTACACCTGTGAATCTGATTTATTTTACTTATGAGTATGGTCTCTAGTTGCATCCATTTACCTATAAAAGCCTCTAGTTTATCATTCTTCATAGCTGAGTAATACTCCATTGTATAAAAATACCACATATTTTTTATCCGTTCCTCGGTTGATGGACCTTTGCGTTGTGGTAATCCTAATTTTTCTCAAATAGCAATGGTGATAGTGCACAGCACACTGGGATGATTTTGCTTGTTGGCCGAGGCTAGGATGTCTGTCACTGTCTCTTGGCACAGGGTTGAACAGTTAATGTGTGGGGACAACTGGAAAAAGAAGAATTTGCGATATTATAAATTAACAAGTGCCTAAGATCCTATAGAGCACAGTAGAAAATTGAGTGCCCAGTCAGATCAAAAGAAACATGTCTTTGAGGGTATGGGAGACTCTTGGGTTTCTGACCCTGACACTGGAGGGTTCTGTCACCTTTCTGCCTTTTCTCTTACCTGATCTGGGTTCCAGCTTGCTCTGATGCAGCTGGGAGAATTTTTCCCAAGCGCGACATGGAGTGACTCAGAGTGGCCGCAGTGCTGTCTTGTAACTTCCCTTGACAGTCTGGAGACGTGCTTCCTCTTTGTTTAGAAAGGCCAGGCATGGAAAATGTGTGCAGCGTGGACCTCCGTGAGGGGGCAGAGAAGCTAAATGTGAACAGGACAGGTTAGGATGAGTTACACTGCAATAATAATTAAACATGACCCCCCAAACCCACTTATATGTCTCGAGACATTATAAGGTTTATTGTTCACTCGGAGTAAGTGTCCGCCACTGGCTGAGCGAACCTTCTGCTCGGTCACAGGACCAAGCTGATCACTGTCCTGCCTCATCATCTGGAAATCACCTCCTCTGACCAGCCGTCAGGAGAAATGAGTCTCTTGCGGCTGCCTCGGCCTCAAGGGGAGCCCTGCTCCCACCCTATCCTTCGCCTGTGTTTCCTTCGGTAACACGAACACGAGTCGCTTGGCCTTGATTAAATGCAAGGACACTGGGAAATGTGTGAGAAAGCAGACTGCCTGAGCCTGCTCTTGTGGTCGCCAAATAGATATTTGCTTCCCTCTTCTTACTGTCCGGGGACAACCTAAGCTTTCTGTGATGGATGCATCTGGCGCCCATTCCATCATCACTGAGTGCATATAATCGGCTCCTCGCAGTCTAGAGATCCGAGCGAAGAAGACAAGTTCGCTCTCGGCTGCATAAGACATACCCTGGGGTAGATCAAGAACGGACCAATTGCAACAAACACCCACATTCTGTTAGGCCGAGAGTGGGGCTTCTGGGCAGTCACCCTCTGCTTCCTGGCCTCTTCTCTGAGCTTCTACCCGCCTGTTTACCTCCCTAGCTCCCCCCCCATTTCCTTTCCTCCCACTTATGTGTGTTGTACCACCCACGTGTCACACGTGTGTGCAGAGCCTGAGGCAAGGTGCCCAGGATGCCGAGAAACCCTGCCAAAGAACAGCCTTGATTCTTGGCGGCACTCATGCTGCAAGGAGAAGGGACGTCCCAAGATAGCTTCTGGAAATTTTAATATGTATTTTGATTTTAATTGTTTTCTTCATATTTACTTGAGGTGTATGATCAAGCCTTAGCATTCCTTACCCTTGGGATAATTTGTAGGGCAGAAAAGTGCTCAAAGTCAAAGGCTCTTATTGTCTTGCTTTTTCTCTTTTCTCTCTTCTCTTCTCTTCTCTTCTCTTCTCTTCTCTTCTCTTCTCTTCTTTCTTCCTTTCATCTTTTTGAGACCAGGGTATCACTGTGCAGTTCAGGCTGGCCTCAAATTCGCAGCAATCCTCCTGCCTCAGCCTCCTGATGGTTATTATCTTTCTTTTTTTTTTTTTTTTTTTTTTTGGTTTTTCTCCGGTACCAGGAACTGAACTCACGACCTTGCGCTTGCCAGGCAAGCGCTTTTGCCGCTGAGCTAAATCCCCAGCCCCATTATCTTTCTTAAAAGTGTGAAAAGAATTAAAGGGTTTGGTGGGGAAAAGGTGAGTGTATTTGAATGGAGCAAGAAGACACAGTCCCCAGTGCACCTGGGGAACCCAGGCTCTGGTTGGGAATGTCCCAGGGAGGAATAGATCTGCAGAGGTATCTCTAGAGGCCCAAGGGCATCACTATACCACATGTTTTATCTTTTGCAAGTGTCTGTCTTTGCTTTCTTTCTCTCTGCCTCCTGTGCATTGCCTGGGATACCTGCCATGTGCAGCACTTTGGAATTTGCATGCAGTGGGAATAACTGATGGCTTTTACCCTGGTGGCACCAATGGCCTCCCTGGGAGAATAGTAATAACAATAATAATAATTATTATTATTATTATTATTATTTTGGTTCTGGGAATCTAACTCAGGATGTCACACTTGCCAGGCAGGCACTGTGCTGCTGAGCTATATCCCTAGTGAGAGTAATTATAAGATAGTGTGAAAATTTCTAAAATGGAAATACGATCAGTCTAATTTGAAAGGACAAATGAGTAACGGGCCAGCCCTAGCACACTGGTTCCTTCTTTCTCTTCACTGAGGTCTTTCTTCTCATTTCTGAGGCGTGGTGCTCTCCTGAGTGCTTATCTCAAGCCATCCTATGGCCCTTTGTCTTAAATATGTTTTTTTCCTGTCTCATGTCTTTGTGTTTCTGTCTCCTTTAACATCCAGAGGAATTGATCATGGACCTGTTTATTGTCTGCTGGTGTTCTCTAAATCTTATAAACTTAGGCAGAAATAAATTTACCAAAAAATATATGAGTAGCTCATAGATTCAGGCAGGAATGAAAAACCAGACTTGGAAGTTGGCTTGGGAAAGGTCACGTTCTGACTGTAAGCAGAGTCTGGATAGGCCAGCACTGTAAGAACCCTTTTTCTTAACATGGCCATTGCCGGAAATCATTTCGTGACTCTTTAGTGGAATCTCCCCTTCAACATTCAAAGACCAAG